TGGGTTGTGAGTTTGATTCCTGGTCAGGGCGCGTACAGGCAGCAACCAATCAATGTTCCTCCCCCCAAATCAATAAAAAATATCCTCCAGTGAGGATTAAAAATTAAAAAGGGAATATATGTACAGTTACTTATGGGTTTTAGATATAACAAGTTGGAAACATCTTAAATGAGAATTTTCTAAACCAATGTATTTTATCAAAATTTTACTATAAATATATAAAAACATGAATATTTTATAGCAATTTAAACTGAATCAGTCAAAATTCCCATCTATAAAAGCATCAAATCCAGATGCTTTTAAGGCAAGTTTTACAAATCTTCAATGAACTGACGGTAATTAATGGTGATTCTTTGGGAGCATTTTTATTAAATACTGGAATAAAAGTGCATTCACTCTCAGTATTAAAGTTAGAATGTCTTTGATATCAAAAAATAAAAATAGTAACAAAAGATTAGAAAAGAAGAAAAAGTTGGATTTCCTGGATGGAAAATTCTAAAGAAAACCATTTTAACAAATTATAAGCGAGTTCAGCGAAGTTGCATAGGTATGATCAACATACAAAACAATTAGCCGATAGTGTTCTTCTGGGAATAAAATATTAATAAAGATATGCAAAACTAGTTTGTATTCACCATACTGTCTATGTGAGATTTAATATGTTTTGACTTTTTTTTTGATAGATACCTCTACCTTGGATTGCCAGCAGCACTAAGAGGATTGAGCTTTATCCCAGCCCTTTTGATCTTAATTATTTTGAGGAAGTATCGTCTGCCCAGTGAAAATGCCACTTCAGGAGCTGTGCTGATGGAGGCAAACGTTACAGGGAAGGAAGAGTGCCAAGAAATGGACCAAATTTCCAAAGTTTTGGATAATGATGTATTGAAAACAAAACTGTAATGCCCTATTATATCATGTTTCCCAGAGTTGGAGAACACACTATAACTTGTTTTTAAAATCAATAGAGGTACTGCAGGTAACCTTTTCTTGTCTTTCAGAACCTAAAAAATGTGTGTTATGTGTTTTTTTTACTCAAGATAAAAAATAAAAGTTCACTGATGGTACTTCTGAGCCATCAATGGCACTTGAGGATTTCCTTAGATGGACATTTGTAACAACCCTAAGAACTGGATATTAGAGCCAACTTTATTATTTAATTTTTTTAAAAATCCTCACTGGAGGATATGTTTCTATGGATATTTCGAGAGAAAGAAACATCAATGTGAGAGAGAAACATTGATCGATTGGTTGCCTCGCTGGGATCAAACCCACAACCTAGGTATGTGCAATGACCAGGAATTGAACCCGCAACATTTTGATGTACAGGACGAACCTCCAACCAACTGAGCCACCCAGCTGGGGCTACAGCCAGCCTCATTTCTATGTTAAAACAGCAATTTCTCTTTTAACTTATGTACAACAAGAGTATATTTCCCACATCTTCTTTTCCAAATGATTCTAAAAATTTCCTGTTATAAAAATCTATTTCATTCCATTGAGTTTCTGCTTTGATATTGGGGTTATTTAGAGACTGAAACTCTCATCGTGCTTATGTGAATATTTAAGTCTTTTATTCAAATGTATTACTTTCAACTAAAAGAAGCCTATGTGGTCTTCTTTTATTTAGAAATTGTTCTTTAACTCCTCCTGTTCATTCCAGACATGACTCTTTGAAAATAGATTGCTTACCAGTGTGCCATCACAGACTTTCAGTCCATTCCCTGCTTTATTATTCATGTCATATATTTGCTTATTTTGTTCAGAGTACTGACAAACTGAATCAGGTTATTAAAAGTCATGTAGCAAAGATTGTTGGGATTTTTCTTTTAGCAATTCAAATCAGGTTACTCTCTCTTAAAAACAAGTGTCTTAGCCAAAGAATGAAAGTGTGATATTAGAAAAACACTAGTCCTTAAAGGCTGCTTGTAGTGAAGATATTGTCAAAGGAACACTTTTCCAGATTCAGGAGGCCTTAGACCAAAGTTTATGCCACTCACAGTGTCCTACGTTAGCACACAAGCACTGATTTTCCACAGCCATCTTAGAGAATGAAACTTTTAAAAAGTAGTTTCTGTTATGAAACTGAAGTTAATAAAATTTAAGATGCACATTTAAAACTAAATCTGCTCTATCAAACAAACCAATAAAAACAATATACTTACAGTATTATTTTATAACTTATGGATATAATACAAGAGCCCTACGGATAATAGAGTTTTGGGTTCAAGAGATTAGAATGAACAGCCACGTGTACCTACTCTTATGTCTCACTCCTGATTCGCCATCATATTGAAATTATAGTCAATATATATATAAAGATATAAATCCCTATTGGTGAAGAGAATGTGGAAGAACAGGAGAAGTGAGAGTCAATATACTATGGTTACTTATGTGGAATATAAGGGAATGGGAGTGTCTGTAGGGATAACACATTCGTAGAAGCTATAGTCCAGACTGTACTTGGAAGGAGCCTGGAATGTAGGTAGAGCCTCTGGTTGCAAATTTGAAGAAAACAAGTTGGTANAACACATTGGTAGAAGCTATAGTCCAGACTGTACTTGGAAGGAGCCTGGAATGTAGGTAGAGCCTCTGGTTGCAAATTTGAAGAAAACAAGTTGGTAGCTGAACAAAATATAGGCCAGTTACTTGAAGGACTGTCTACAGATATTTTTTCAGCCAAACATGATTTCTTTTGGGTAAAAAATACAGAGTTAACAAAACAAGACCTACTAGTTTTTAAAAACTTCCAGTCTTAAAAAAAAATCAGCAGAGAAGATAGAAGGAACTCCATAGAAACAAAATAAAAACCTCTTTCCTGATGATTTGGGCCTATGGAATGAGTTTTTTAGGAAAGATATATTTCAGAATGATAGCTATGCTAAGAATTGTTTACCGAATAGATAATTTACTAGTTAGTGGAGAATCTTTTGACTGGAATCAGGTGACAGAAAGGAAGAGAGGTACTAAAAAATAATTCAAATAGGTCTTAAAAATTCATAAAGTTAATTGAAATACTTTTTTTCTTTACATCAGAGGAGTAACAGTGAGGCTTCTGGTTTCAGCTCAGACATGCAGAGAGTAGAAAACAGTATTACACCCACACCCTTACCAAAAAAAAAGCTGGATAAAGTACAAGTTACAACTTTTCTTGAACCCATCAGTGAACAGGTTATTGAGCCAAACAGCTAATTGGAAATTGGGAGAGAGCCGGGCTGCTGCAGGGAGCAACGGGATTTGAACACTGACTGACTAGGGGCAGAAGCCACCCAATGCCATTTAAGTCAGTAAGTCCCCTCCCCCAGCCCCTTTCTGGGCCGCGATAACAGCATCTAGTAAATAGAATGGAGTACAGTTGGGAAAGNCGCGCCTCGATAACAGCATCTGGTAAATAGAATGGAGTACAGTTGGGAAAGCTGCAAGAGAGTTCTTTCTGGGTAACAGTATAAAAGGAAGACCAAATCCACACGGGGAGCAGACCCTCAACACAAGGTCTCCCCCGAGGAACTGAAGCCTCCCCACAGGGTAACCGCAGCAACGAGCGCCAGCCCAGCCCTGCTGCCCACACCAGGCCCACGCCGCAGGCCTAGCAGCTGCCCCAAGCCGCTCGGGCCCGGGCTTCAGCCTTTTAAAGTGTCCGCTTTATGAAGTAGTGCCCTTTGTTTTTATTTATTACTATATTTTATTTTTCCCGATAGGTGTTTGACACTCAGTAATTGTTGAACAAATAAATATTTGAGATGTTGCTTTTATTTTCTTTGCAGGTTTTAAAGAACTGCTCCATAATTTCTCTCTTTACTTTTACAGGGACAAGGTCCCATCAGACTTGTTGCTCAGTAATCTAGCAACGGGGTGGTTTTTGAAATTGCTACCTATGTGATTAAGGAATCTTTTCTCAGGTCTACAGCCTGAAAAGAGGTTGATATCTATAACTTCCAAGCCAATTCCCAGATTCTAGCAAGTTGTGTGACTTTGCTATACTCAGGAGCATCTCCCCCGTCCTGGAGTTTGGTTGTCAGTTATCAAGAACTCTATATGGAGTTTTTATTTTATTTTTATTTATTTATTTTCTTTTTTAAAGAAGTCCAGGCTGTATCACAAATGCTTTGAATCAGAATCTCTAGGGTGTGTGTAAGGTTGGGTTCATTTTTTAAAAAAGTTCCACAGGTGATTCTGGTGCCACAAATATATATTTTTTAACCTGTTGGAATAAACACTATAATTTCTAGCATTCACTGTGATAATGCTGATGTCACTAGCATTATTTAAATGCAATATTTAAATATTTGTTCTTTTTCACTCTACTACTTGTCCTACTTGTGAGGATGTGAAAGACGTCTCTTTGTGCACCAAACACACACACACACACACACACACACACACACACACACACACACACACGCAAAACTATGCAATTGAGAGACAGTTCATAAATTCTCTGGTGCAGACTCCACTCCTTCCAGAGAGCAGACAGACAAAATGAAGACACATCTGTTAAGTGGGCTTCGCTTTTTCAACATCAGTTTTTCTTATTCATTTCCATGAGTCCCAAAGAAGCAACACATTCTGTAATATGTTGTCTGACAACCATAGCATGCAAATTTTTGCTTATTTCTTCAGCAGTATTTTAATGAGAGGTTGGAAGAAGATGCATCAGAGGTTGCTAGACAAATTCAACTTTGAATTATAAATGAATGAGGCCTGTGAAAGATACCACTTCATGTCACATGAACGACAGATGTCACGATAGCATAAATCCTTCAGTCTATTAGACTTCAGGCTTGAGTAATATGATCCAAACTGTTCTATTTTTGTTTATGTTTTTAGTTTTTAAAAAGGTATTAGGCTTTTCTCCTTATTTAGGCTGTGAATTTCTCGCCTCATTTTTTTTCACCTCCACCTATTTTCTAGTCACTTGTTTTACTGAGTTCCATTACCCGAGCAAACACTTTTTCTTCTGTTACCTACTACTCTCACTTTTAAATTTGTGTGGATCATATATCCTAATCTAAACCCCAGTGCATAGTCACATAACAATGAATACTCACATTCATTTTCACTTATAGTTTGTTTCATTACTGTAAATTCATAGGTAACTCACTGTCCCATCCTATGTAAAGAGTGTGGGAATAGTGGGTAAAAGGACCAGAAAATACACAAAAATAACATCCTATTGAATTAATACAATGTTGGTTGGAAACCCAGCAACAAAAGACTTTATTTTCTCCCCTTAAGTATATGTTTCAGCGTCTGCTCTGGCAGAAGGTACAAAACGACCATCATTATTTAAGAATTCTAAGTTGGCTTCATTCACAGATTTTCTTCTATTTTCTGATGCCTTGGTATCTTTTCCTTGATATACTTTTTTCATAGCATAAATAAATACAATATACAAAATAAGTGTTGTAAATTTAAAGCTCTCAATCATGCCCAAGAAGGTCTTTCTGTGAAAAGAGAAAGAAAGTCAATTTTTATTCTAAACTGTGTAAAACAATTTACAGTGCTTCTCTCCAGTATGCAGAGGACCTTAAAGGAAGAAAACAAGCAAACGATGTTTGAAATTATACAAGAAAATATTAAGGCAGCAATTCTAGTGATTCTTTTTATTGAAGCACAGGGAATTTTTAATTATTTTAAAAGGAATATTAAGCCACAAAAACTAAGGGTGCTTAATGATCTACCCAAGTGCTTTCTGTAAAGTAAAGTATATTTGGAATGCTTTAACTTTCCCAAAGGCAAATTCATTTACGTGGAATGTAACAGATCATAAAGGAAATGAGTTGACTGTGAGATAATCAAATTGAATGTGACTGTTACTGAGAAAATTTGAATAAGTTGTGTTTAAATTTAGGATTGATATCAATATAGATTTCTATTCCTTGGATTAGGAATTGTTGATATTATTTGTCTATGCTAGATAAAATCAGTGAACAATTATCTGGGTTACCTCAAAATAATAAATCCAAAAAATCATGAGGTTACAATTTAACTTTTTGTTGTGTATGCATTGGTGAACACACTGCTCTTTTAAAAAAGTTCACGTTAAGCCATCTTTATGCAATTACTTTGCAAAGCAGTACTTTAGGCAGTGAACACAACTGATCAAAGGGAAAGTGATAAGGGCTGTGCTGTGAGTGAGCTCCAAAGTACATAGAATTATAAAGAGGGATAGTTCCAGCTGCTGGAATAGTGCAAACTTTAGCAAAAATCCTATACTCAGAAAGGACTGGGAAAGGACTTAGCTTTTTCAGACTGCCTTCTTTCACTTAGCAATGTGCATTTAGGTTACTGCTCTGTCTTTTTTTAAAGCTTGATAGCTCATTTCTTTTTATTATTGAATAATATTTGTTGTATAAATGTACCACAGTTTGTTTATTTACCTACTGAGGGACATGTTGGCTGCTTCCATATTTTGGCAATTATGAATAAAGCTGCTATAAATATGTAAGTGCAGGTTTTCACGTGGACATAAATTTCCAGCTTACTTGGGTAAGTAATTAGGAGCATAATTACTTGATTACACAATAAACCTATGTTTAGCTTTGTAAGAAACTGTCAGGCTGTTTTCTAAACTGGCTGTACCATTTTGCCTTCCCACCAGCAATGAACTAGAGTTCCTGTTGCTCCACATCATTGCCAGCAGTTGCTGTTGAATTCTTAAAAACTGAAAATAAAAGACATTTGCCTTGTGTCTGTTGTGAGTTACAAAGTCTTTTTCCAGTTTATCTTTTGTCTTTGAACTTTGCTTAAGATAAGTTTCATGATACAGAGTTTTAAAAATATTGTATCATTTTTTTTCTACTATGGTTTTGAGGGTATGGGTCACACTTAGAAACACATTCCTGCTTCCTAGATAGTTAAAAGAATTTCTATCACAATTTCTTCTAATACTTGTATTTTTAAATTTTAAATTTATATGTTTGATTAATCTGCAATTTTTATTTACAGTTAAGGTATTATTGCCACTATTTTTTTCTAGAGGGCTACCCAGCTGCTTCCGTATGAATAGAATAGTATAGAAATAATTCTTTCCTTTTGGTTCCCCACTGACCTCTGACTAGAGCCCCAGCTGAGCATTTTGTATCTTCCAAGGGAAGTCAGAGGCCATTGAATATAGCTGTTGTTGTTGTTTATTATTAGGAGAATTTTGGGAAACAAAGAGATTTAACTAGAAATCCCAGATCTTTTTGTCATTAGCTGTGTGATTTTTGACCGTTACTCATTCTCTTTAAATTTTAGTTTCTTCATATTTAAAGGAAAGGAGAAAAATAACCATCTACAGTTCCTATGAGTGTTAAAGTGAGATATCAGATTGCCTGTATTATAATTATCAATATTATTATTATACTGACAGTTCTCTCTCAACCTTTAATGATTAATATAATCAAAGCAAAATGTAAATTAATGAAATGCATTAGTGATAACTTACCCATAAAATGTGGAATTATATATCCTACAAGAACCTTGCTTCCCAGAGCTGCTGATGGACCACTTCATACATGATCTATCAATCAGAGCCCCAAAATATATAGGAGCCAGAATTCCTCCTGCAACATGAGATGGAATGTCAATCCAAACCTTTCAAATGTAATGGGGTGATAGTCCACATTGATGTATTTTGGATTAAGTAAAAGTTAAAAACTTTGGAGGACTCTTCCATTGTTTTGGCCTAACTCTCCTCAAGAATCAAGATGATTGGGAATCTCAAAGGGTAAAGGGGGTCAAATGCATGGTGACAAAAGATGCTTTAACTTCAGGTGGTGGGCACACAGTGCAACATAGAGATCATATATCATAAAAATGTACACTTGAAACCTTTATAATCTTATTAACCAATGTCACCACAACAAATTTAATAAAAATAAAATTTAAAAACAGGAATCTCAGAAGCCGAAACCATTTAAAATGTCACAAATACCTTTAATCAACCCTCACCCTGCCACCACACATAGGAACATAATATGCCTGCATACTCTGTTCTTATAATGCCAGTTAACTTAAGCCTGATTGGTAAAAAAGAGAATGTTGTTTGTAAAACATGAACGTTATATTGGTTTATATACAACTTGGGGAGGGGGGCAAAGAGAGCTGGAGGAGTGGGAGTAGACATAGCTTCACAGGGAAATGAAAAAGCTCTCAGTTTAAATGCTGCCAAAGCAGGAGATTTTTCAGCTCTATTGTTAAGAAAATTAAAAGGTAAGTGCCAACACTAGGATTTCCTCCCCAAAGAAGCACAGGCCCAACTTCACAGAATGCAAGGCTCTCTTTGCTCAGAGCTCTGCTTCCACTTTCCTGGTGTCACTAGAGCCCACAACCAAGTGTTTTCTCTCTATTGATTATGTGTATTTTAAATAACTCCTGAAGTAGCCTGGGCTGTCCAAGTGAGAGCCTGTGGTGCTGAATTTTGTTTCTATTAATGTTCTGATCATAATGATACCTAGGTCTGCAGTGGTCTGTGCCTAACCTAATTTTTGTTTGTGGTGTATGATTTTGCCATGTGAGGCTTTTCAGGAACATGTGTGTTGTCTTATAGCAGAAGTGCCCACCTTTTACTGCTATTTTAATAAACGTTGAGACTGATTCCTGGTTCTAAGCATTGGTAATTTGACCAGAATTTTAGGGACATGCTCATTTGGACCAAACTTAATGAATTAAATATTTTAGGTAACAAACCTGGTCTTCAATCATCACTGGAATTTAAAAATTTTAAATAACCTGTTTTCCAAATACCATTTTCAGTTTAATATACTCTATAAACCTTCCAAGATTTCCAGACATGTTGTATTCAAGACAATTGTTTTTCATTTGGGAGTTTGGTCGTTAGTATGTATTTTTCCTGTAGAAGCAGGTAGGTTCCACTGTGTCATATATTGGACATACCAAAATAGGATGCTCACAACCAGGATGACAAAATTCCTTTTCTTTCTCTATTTTATGTCACTAGAGGAACTTCCCTTATTCTCAGCCTCATTCCAGCATATCAGGAGGAGTACTGGCTCCCCAAATTCTATGTTCATCTGCTAGCTTCTGTGCTCTCGATTCTAGGAGTAAGGCAATTCCTTGGGGTCTGGAGACAGGGAACTAACTGCTGGGGTGGACAGAGGCTATGAGATTACAGAAGCAATGACGAGGAACCTGGGAGGAGAACTGTAAAGGGACCCTGCAGCACCTTTACCTTCCCCTCTCCCAGGCCTGTTCCATCTCCTCGTTTACCTTTGAGGATCTGTGGCCTTCTCCTCAAGTAAACTTCTTGGACAACTTGTTCATTGTCATTTGGCCACAGAGTTATGGTCCCAGGGGTTGACCCCTCCCATGTACTTTTCCTCCTGCCATGAGCAGTTGCCTCCAGGCCATGATCAGTCTTCTACCCCAATCCCTAGAAGAACAATGCCCTCTTCCTACTTCCCGGGAATTAGCATATAATGTTAATTGGTCTTACACAGGACTTAGGCATGGACAGGACTTAGGCTAGAAGTTGTTAAGCTAACAACAGAAATCGGTGTGGTCTACATGGTAAATGGGAACAAAAGATAAAGGATGATTTCTTAAACCTTATAATAATCACGTCATTGGAATATTTAGAAATAGGCCTTTAACCTCCAGCATCTATAGCCCTACCTTTTAACAACAAAACCCACAATTTCCTTAGCTTTCATTCAGAATACTCCCTTATTCCAACTTGCTCAGTTCTTTTAGTTTTCATTTTTTCTTGCAGTTTTAACTTCTGATAAAAGTTAGCTGTCCCAGCCTTAGAGAACTAGGCAGTGGGAAGTAAGGCAGTGAAAGTCCACTTCTGCTGTTTCACACAGTCTCAGCCAGACCAGAGTCCCAGCCCCCCCCCCATCTTTTGGGGGGATTACCCCCGTCAATGTAAAAGGAAGGCCCTCCACTCTGCCTACGGGAAAAAATATTCCTAAGTCTGAAAGTAAAAAAAAACCGACAAAAGCAACAACAACAAAAACTTTGCAGACTATTTTTGCATTAGAGTGTAAAACAAATATGATTCCTTGTTCTATTTAAAAATGGACTTGAACTAGAATTAATCAAATTATCCTTCAGTTCACACAGTTTCCCTCTGTCTCTTATTGTCATTCATCGCAAAAGTAGAAATGAATTTTACTCATACTTTTTTTTACCTTCTTAAAATTTGAAATTAATTACATTTGGTCTTTGAGCTTTGACATGAAAATTTATATCTTGAATTTATGATCATACCTAGTGTTCGTATAGTGAATGTATGGAAACCCACCGCAAGTGATTTCAGTTCAGGTTGAACATTTCTGAAATAAAATAAAGGCAAAAATATCATTAATATCTTTAAAATGCCAACGGGGTTCAATATTAAAACATTTCTGTGTCATCGTTCTTCATGGTTGAAAGAAAACTCTCAAGTAAATACCTGACTTTATTTAAAATTTTATTTTCAGTTGTTTTAAAAGGAAAACATCTGAATGATAATTATTATTTTTCTCTTATTTACTTAATGTGTTATGATTTCAAGACAATTTAACAAACATTTTTATATTGGCTCCTTATGAAATCCTATGATAGTGATTGGGACAGACTTTATTATACCTATGAAGAAACTGATTCTTTGTGGTCTATTTAGTTAACACAGGCCATGAGCAAATACTTTAGGTCTGAGTCATAGCAGAGCTCTTTCTATCATCTTATTTCTGTCATTGCTGTTAACAGAAAAGTTGACTAATATGATTCATGAACTACATAATACAACCTCGGGGATGGGGGTCAAAAATATCTGTAGTTTAGTGTCTAATGTATTTTAATGTAATTGAAAATGTAGCAACCACATTTGTATAACCTTTTAGAAATCAACTCACTCTTGCATTTAGAAAGTTATTTCCATGACTCCATTTGTCTGTGTTCAATGAGCAGATGAAACTACCATCCCCATGGAAACCTAGTACATGGACTATCCAGCAGCAATGGGGAGAGGGTGATTCACTGAGTCTCAAAAATCTTTTTACTGAAATATTGAATTAACTGATACAAAGGTTTCTTTCTGTCTTGAAGTGTTTTGATGACTGTATTTGTTCATGGAGTTAAGTAGATTTAGTCACTCATCAAATATTTGCTAAGTGCCTCCTAGGTGATTCCACATTGGTTCTTGTTTTTGAGAATAAAGAGGTAAATGGTGCTTCATATGAACTAAGTAATTTAGAGAAGCCATTCAATCTCCCTTAGCCTTAGTTTTTTTACCTCTGGGTCCCAGGACTCTCACCCTAATGTAGTTTAGTATATCCTTTAATCACACCCAGTCTCCTACTCCTTTCCATCACTCAAACTCTTCCATTGTATCCCCTGAAACATAGTCTGCTACCAGCAAAATCCTTATATCCTACAATTTTAGCAATCCCTTTACTTTTCTGTTCTAGACAAAGTCTGGCTGCTCCCTGATATCTCTCTTTCCGTGAAAGTCTCTCAACTTTCTCCAACATCCTTCTTACCTTGGGCCTGAAATGTAGGACAATGTCCTTCTTTCCTTTTTTTTTTTTTTTTTTTACTACTTCTAGACTTGAGTGCCTTCTCTGAAAGACCTCTAACTCCCCTCACAAGGTGAACCGTCCTAATAAATCACTCCTTCACCTCCTTGTTGTCGCCTCACCACCCCCATCATTCTTTGATGATTAGTACTTGGCTCTCTGCCATTTATTTTCCAAAATATTTTTGCCACTTTTCCAATTTATTTCAATATCCATTTAGACCATCTTCCCAATGATCTGGCTCCTGAATTTCTTAATCTTTTCACACCACTGGTTTTACTTCCCCCATCCTAGGGTCATGTCGATTAGTATAGACATTCCTAATTCTCAGTTTTGAGCATCCCCTTCTTCATAGCTACCTCTTAACTTTCAAATTCACTGTCTTAACTCTCTCTTCCTTACACACTCCTGATCTTGTACATGACAAGGATGCTTCACCCCAGGGCATTTACCTCTGCTGCCATCTTGCCTGGATTGCTCTGCACCTGTCCCCATTTCAGCATGACTTGTACTTTCATTCTTTATTCAGATCTTTTATCAAATGACTTTCAATGTACAATATTTGAATTAGTGCTGCTTGTCTGCCCCCACCCCACTGTCTATATTCTTACTCTGATTTATTTTTTCTTTCTAATCCTTGACACCTATTTTACATATTTACTTGCTTATTTATTTATTGTTTTTTCTTCTACACCCATCAATTACCCTACCTCTCACACCCCCCTGGAGGCTGGTAAAAGCAGGGCTTACATCACTTTTGTTTACATTTTTATCCAGAAATTATGTGCTCAACACATAATAAATATGTATTGAATGCATGAATAGCATCACTATGGTTTATTCTAATTTTAACTAGATTTATATTAATGTTAATATTAATTGACTGAAGTTTATATTTTTATTTTAGTCTGCCTCACAAAGATTTCTTTTGATAAAATCAAAGGCTAGTGAGAGATCAATAATTGTTTTTGACAAATAGTGATGTTAACCTTAGTCACTTTCTCAATAAGATAAAATATAGATGTCATCGATGATAGAACAATGATCCCTCAAACCCTCATTTTCTTCATGAAAGATTTTAAATTAAGAAGCTAAGACTTGCTGAGATGAAAACTAATATAGAGTTCTGAGATGATTTCCTGTAAGTTAAAATCTGTAATTTGGCAAATATGGGAAACTTCTTTTGAGTAGACAAGATTTTATATTAAGGTGGAGCTGTATCTGTGAAATAAATTAATATAAAATTTGACAAAATTTGGGGTCAGAGTAGAATTTAAACAACTGTAGACTCAGTTTATAGGTCTATATTGGTTTTAACAAAAGTCAATACATTTGTTTTCCCCCCCCTTCCATGCCAGGCTGTTGGCTGACAGTTATTTGTGATCAGCTACCTAGGTCTTGTAAGTCTAATTAGATCTTTACCCAGGTCATCATATTTATACATATATGTTTTTAGACCTACATTCAAGTCTTTATGTTTTTAATTTTAGGTGACTGAACAGTTAATTTCACAGATAGGCTTTGTCTTATCTGATACCTTCTTAACCCTCCAATTTTATCTTGTGCCATTTCTCTCTCATTCAGTATGTTCCAACCAACAGGCTTCTTTTAATTCCTCAAACACACCAGCTCTTTCCTGTCTTGAGGCCTTGGCACCTAGACCTGTAAAGCTCTTCACTTGGCTACCTTGAACTTCTATAGACCTTTAGATTAAAGGTCATTTTTTTGAGAAGTATTCTTTGAGTCTTCCTTACAGCTCCTCCCCTCAATCCTGAATTAGGTTCCTTTTTTCATTCTCTTGAATAGAGCTCTTCTTCTTCATAAGTATTAATTACACATTTACTTTTAAGCTCATTTGCCTTACATAGGTCTTCCTTGTCACGCTCTAAGCTGTATGGGAATAGGGACTCTACCTGTTTTATTCACCACGGTATATTCTTCACCCAGCATGGTCTAAATATTTGCTTAATGAGTGAAGAAAAGAATGAATTCTGTTCATATATTTTTCTCTTGTCTGTGAAGGTATTTGAGAGACTAGGTCAAAAGCCATTCTAAGGGTGGATTAAAAGCTTTGGAATATTATAGACCTTACATTATACAGTCTGATTCCCAGATGTTTTATTTCAATAAAATCAATAGGTAATTCATTCTGACAGGCTCATCAGGATGTAAGGTATTTCAAAATTAAAAGTTTGTTTAGACTCACAACAGGGATTTTTTAAGGATTGAGCCTATTGTCAGTCTGTGTCTTAATATTCTTAGTAAGAGGAGCAAGTATAGAATCTATATTTTTGTAATATAAGAATCAAAGGTAGATTATTACTAATTATGCCATTGAAATATCACAATAATCTTAAGAAAATGCATTCTTAGAACATTAAAATTAATAAAATATGAATGGGTTCCAGATATATTATGGAAAAATAGGTACATTATTAGGTGTGTTTATAGTCTAATATACATAAAATGCTTTTAAAAAGTCATACTCACTTAAAAACCAGCATGAGAGTTGAGGATGTTCCCAATGAAGAGGTAAAAGAATGTATGATTTGCACTGCTATATAAATATAAAATTTTTTTGTACACTGCTCATCTCTTGGGCAGGCACCCAAATTCACTGAGTTACTTTTGTTCTGGGAACCAGTTGCTTCCACACAACTACAGTTATGAAACACCTAAAAAATAGTTTTTGAAAGGTTATATAATATATTTGTGCAATATGACTGGTCTATAAATACAGTCCATTATAGTTAAGGAAGTCTCATTCATTCAAGCTAAAATATTCACAGGTTTTAAATAAAATATTCTAAAAGTACAGTTGCTTAACGGTGGAAAGGCAAAATAGTTTCCTGGATTCTTTAAAAAAAAAAAAAAAAAGTAGTTCACTATTAACATTTAATTCATCCCTGATTTAAAAATTAGAAAAGAATAGAAGAAATTAATATCTGAAACTCTGTATGCAATTTTCTCATTAATACTCACTATAGACCTTTTACTGCCACTTGAAGATTTACATCCTGCTAGACAGGGTGATATGTAAGTTATTCCATTGTCTCCACAGACTGGTTCCCACTGGCTTGCATCACAATTGCAGTCTGAGTTGCAATAAGAAAGTGGTACATTTATGTGAGATGCCACTGGATTATTTCTGGAAAGATATGATAGACATATATCACAAATAGAGAGAGATGGAAAAGGAGAGGAGGAGGAATGGGGGGGAGAAAAGAAGTGAAAAGAAGAAAAAAAGAGGGGAGGGAAGGAGAGGGGCGGGGAGAAGAGAGGAGAGGCGAGAAAGGAGAAACAAGGGAAAGAGTTGCACTTTAATTCCAGAGAGAAATCTGATGAGCGGTGATGGCAAAATGGCAGTTTTATAGGGCGTATTAACTTCTTCACCCCCCATCTTTACCCAGACATGATTTATGATCTAGCTAAGGTAAAACAATAAAAAGAAACCAAAGAAGATAGGTAAGATTTAGGCAAGAGGTGTTTGTGACTCTATCAAGAAATCACTCATTAAATAAGTCGCTTCACTTTTCTGTTCTCAGTTTCTCTTCAGCAAGGTAATGGCATTAGACTAAGGTTCCTCCCAGCTCACTGTAAAGCCCTCAAAAATCTGTGAATATTGCTTAACTAATTTGAATTTTAAAATCTATATTTTCACTACATAGGAAAATAATGTAACATGGTTAAAGCAGAATCCCTAAGGATCAATTTTTTTAAAAATCAAGAAAAATACAGTCAGTTGAGAAAGACTAGAAAAACACCATATAATTTTTAAATGAAACTACAACATACTTTATAATAACTAACTGTAAAACATGGTTATATTTATAAAATATAACCTTAAAACACATTACTAAAATTACAAAATAGAACTTTGCATAATTAATTTTCTGCTTATAGATTTTTAAAATTATTTTGTTTTGGGTAAAACTCCTGATAATAATTGAGGATTGATAAATTATCTTTGCATGAGAAAGTAATTTACATGAAAAAGGAAAAAAGTGGATTCTGAAATTCCAAAATTCTTTTATCAATAATTTTAGAAAAAAGCATCTAATACCTAATTCTGCTTGGGGACATACAACTGGGAGGGGTTAAGCTTAATGATTTATGACTCAGTCTGGACTTTATTATCAGAAACTTTTAAAATCAGTTTTGCCATTTGTAAGTCATATACAATAGCATCTAACTCATGGGAATTTTGGGGGAAAAAATTAATTTGGCAGTTCTCAAATATTTTGTTCTCAGTAGCCCTTCATACTCAAAAGTTTTGGGGCCCTCAAAGTTTTTTTGTTCAAGTGGGTTGTGTCTTTTGATATATACTCTATTAGAAATTAATGCTAAGAAAACTTTAGTACATGAGATAAGCACACATATCATTAGCCATCAGATGGTGTTATCATTGCATGTCTTGTAGGCTTAGAAAATGTCACTATGCATTCATGAGAAAATGAGAATGAAAAAAGCAAATACTGTCTTAGTATTATTTTAACAGTACTTTAAAATTTGTTGACAGTCTCATAAGCTCTCAGGGACCCGTGTAGACCCTCAGACCACATTCTGAGAACCTCTGCACTAATTCATACTTTAAAAACTTACCCCAATGACCAGCATTTTATAAATGTTGAGTACATTGATTCTGCAATTTGCTATCATTAGACTGTGAATTCCATGAGGTCGTTGGTGCATCCTATAAATCATCTTGACCTTTAAGGAGGCACTCAGTAAAATTTACCAATTGAAAAAAATCCCAGAAGACTGTAGCTGCCTTCTTTTGAATAGGTGGCACAGTTACCACACTTGATTTCAGGGAAGCAGCTAAAGGCTTAAAGCCTGCCCTGATAACCAGGGAGCCCTTGAGCCAGTGATGTGATGTGGTGCTGACCTGGAGGCATTGGAGGACTGCAGACAAGTCACTGAGCTTCAACTAATAAAAAAAGAGACTATAAAAGGGTTGGGCTGCATGACCTCTAAGATTCCTTTACCTCTAAAGTGCAATGTTCTAGGTACCCTGTATTTTGATTTCCAGAGTGAGTGATGCTGTATAGAAATAATCAGGATTAGGAAGAAGCAGGGAAATAACGCGAGGCTAGGTTGTCAAGCCTCCTAGGACAGGATGATGCCTAGGTAAGGAAATGGAATATTCGGCAGGTCAAAATGGATGCTTCATAGAATGTAAAAGCTGAGAGCCAACAATAAGTAGCACTAAGGAGCGTGGCTACTGAACTGTGATTCAAGGATCTTTGCTTGTTGCTTGAATGTGAACCTTCCTAAGCTTGAATGTGAACCTTCCTAAGCTTGAATGTGAGCGTTCCTAAGCCTAAATTGTTGGCTGTACAAAGGAGATGATAAGAAATCTGCATGGGAATCTTGCCCTTGATTTGGGGGTAGAGACTGTAGTACTAGGAATACTTCACAATATTTGATAATAATAAAAATGAAAGGTTTTCATGTGTGTGATATGCAATTACATATAGGATATTTATCAATTCTGTCAATGAAGACAATACCAGAAGAAGCAGTATTAGTTCGCAGAAAAGGAGAACTCAGTAGTCCAACTAAGAACATGTTTTCCTATAAAGATAGTTGTTAAACATCAAAATTAACTGCAGATATAGATAGTTCAGTCACTTTTAGAAAATGTCATTTGTCTTCATCTTATGGCCCATCCAAGATTATAATGGCTAAGGTGGCTAAGACTAAGAATTTTGGAGTCGAAAACCCTAAATTTGAGTCAGAATCTTAACACTGCTGGCCATATAATCTGTGTGTCCCTCTAAACTTGGTTTTCCCTATCAATAAAACAGGGACAAAAGTACCCGTCATTCACTGTAAGCACCCCATAAGTGATTATTATGACAAACTATGTAGCTCTTTTTAAAGGAAGGAATAAAATAAGTTTTTTGAAATGTTAAAAAATGTCCTTTTTAGGAATTTGTAAGTTGAAATTTCTCTCAAAAGAAAGTTTACTTAAAATTGGCATCTACCCTGGTTTCTTCAAAGTCTTTTACACTGGATAGTTTATACATTGTGCAACTGATAAATTGATATATACAAACCCATCATAGGTCAAGGTTAGTCCGGCAACCGACTTGCTTTCACAGATTAGTGCAAAATTTAATAGGAAAACGGTGAAGGTCACTATATTAATAGAAAGTAAATATTTGGCAATTCCAAGCAAGGACAATTTGAATCTTTTAGTGATATATCCTCCCACAAACATTCCAGTTGCAATAGTTGGTATGGTTATGAATCCTAGAGATAAAAGAAAAATAGTAATTATATAATACAGTATTCTGGAACATCTATACATATGAAGCATACTATATATCAACCAAGTTCATTATAATCTCATTATTTCTTAAGGCTGGCAGGCCTGGATGAAGGCAGGGTACCAGTGTACCATATGGGAGAGAGAAAAATGATTTCTTCTTGCCAATGCTGAGGGCTTAGTTTCCCCAATAGCAAAAGTCAGTGACTGAGAATATTTGTATGTCTGAACAGATGGTTTCTACGAGATGCTTCCCCCACTGGAAAACAACAAAACATTATCTTCCTGCCCATGAGCCTTTCATCCTACCATCTAAAATCCTTTATATCTCCTCAAAATGAAGACATGCAGTTCTTAAAAACTCACTCCAAATTTGCTCAGTACTTTAGCACTGAATTCTTGAATTAATATCTCTCTTTGTTCATTTAAACACATATTCTCTGAGATCATAAAGAAGCCTATATATAATATTAAAAATAATTGATCTCTCTTATAACTTTCCTATTTTGTTGTCCTGAAAGAGTTATTAAATATGAAGACCACTGTAACAAAAAAATTCAGGCTGGGAACATTACTGGGAGCCTAACTTAACTATCACAGCTCAAACTTTTAAGTTCAATTTGAGCATCACACATAATTATTATTTTCTTGTTTATTTATGACCTACTCACATGCTACTTGATAAATTTAATTTATCAAATATTTATTTAGTTTCTACAATGTGCTGGGCACTTTACTGGGTGTAGGTGAAGAATGACATAAGAAAACCATTCCTTCACAAGCAAGTTTCACTATGTCATGGGAAATAGATATTATAGCAAAAAAACCCTCTCTGTTATAAGATATTTGTTTTGAATTATGTAGACATTAATGATTTGTTTAAATTGTTTTTCTTTGGGAAACAACAATGTTCCCAAAACATTGTAAGTAGCTGGGTCCTGATTCAAAATCCATGAGTTATGGAACTATAANTACTTTTTGTAAGTAGCTGGGTCCTGATTCAAAATCCATGAGTTATGGAACTATAACGATTACATTACAAAAGGATTTGTCTCTGGATCTCAGCACTAAATTTTAAGATCCAATTATGCAGATACCATGTCTAAATGCTCCATTTACATGTAATTTTTTTCTTCAGGAATTGATCTCTTCAAAAATAATATGAGATGCCACTTCAAATGCGGAACACAAGGATGACATCAGGAAATGGACATATTTGATAAGATTTGCAAGAGAATAAATTGAAACTATATTTACTAAAATATGAAGTCATCATCACAACACAATGGCACTGAGAACTCAATCACTTGGTAGCATGCGGCCTATGAGCGAACAGAAACAATGTTTCTTACCTAGCACAATGTTCGTCGCAGATGCTGTCTGACCATATTGCTGTTCTATGTATTTGAAGACATAAGTAATAATACCAATAAAGGCACTGGATTGTATCAATGTCAAAAACAAAAATAAAACGTATAAGGGATTGGTAAGGATGGTTTTTAAAGACTGGCAAAAACCTATAAAAACATAAATATAAAGAAAATATAATAATGTAGCTTTATATTAATATCTTAATCTTATAAATATGTTACATAACATTTACTATTATATAAACACATAACACAGAAAGTTAGAATACCTGCCAGTCTTATCAATAGTTTATTACATATTCCTTTATTTTTTTCCCATATATACGTTAATACTTAGCTAGTTCATTTAACCTAGATGGGACTATATAGACATGCTGTTGGCAACTTGCTCTGTTCCCTTTGTGTTTGACTATGTTTGCCATGCTACCATACAACTACATACATGACTGATTTATTTACCCATTTATTCAACAGATATTTGGTTTTCAACTGGATATCAGGCAATATGCCAGGTGCTCAAGAAACAAAAGTGAACACAATATGCAACGTCTCTTATTTATTAGCACTTAATAACGTAATTATTAGGTAGAAATTTACCTTAAAGATGGCATAATCCAAAGCTCACAGAAGTGAGAAGACTAAGGTTCAAGAGTCATAAAGATCGATTTAGCGCTAGGACACAGACCTCCTGTTCCCTGGTGTGCCGTTGTTCTGTGGTGAAATGCTGCCCCAGTGAAGTGGGCAGGAGCATGTGTGACCCTTCTGAAGGCGCGAGGACAGGCAGAGAATAATGATGCGCCTCAGGTGACATTCGTGATGATAGTACAACCACCTGTGCCTACAAAGAACTGTGGAGCAAATTCGTAACCTCTGTCCCTGGCAAGAATTGTGTGATCTGGGTCTGCGATGAGCAGGTCAACCAGCTGTACTGGAAGTTAAAAGTGGAAAGAGCTACCTAGAAAAACAGGAGGAAATATCAGAGTCTAAAAAGGCAGAACCATGTACGGCTAGAGAGATGGGTGACATGGGCTTTGAAAGGCCTTGTTCCGTAGATCATGAAAGGTTTTCATGAGATATGGTCCGAATCAAGCCGCCTTTCCAATGGGAACTAAAAAATAGTTTCATCTGCTTATAATAAGGAGAAAGAAGAGTTAGGGCAAAGGGGGGTAGAAGAGAAAACAAAGAAAAGGAAATTTAGAGCAGGAGTAAATACGATTTAAAATTGTTAGGCCAAAATGCTCAACTTTTCTCCTTGGGACTCCAAAAGCAGGAGGCCCACTGACTTGTGAGGCATTCTGAATGAATCGTGACATTGCGTCAAAAGAAATGGAGCAGATGGGTTCACCAAACCAATGAATCTTTGAGGTGGGTGGGAACTGGGATGTTGTCTAGTCTGAACTTCCATACAATCATGATCCACTATATCTTTTCAGTAGTTAGATCAATACAAGTCAAGTAACATTAAGCTAACGACCTCAGAAAGAAATTTTTCCATTTTTGGCCAATTCTTATTGTTTACAATATTGTTTTACAAATTGTTTTGTAATGAACTGATATATTTCTTTATTTCTTTCTAACCAATTAGTCTTAATTCTACTAAAAAACATATATAACAAAGCCAATATTATTTTTCCTAAGTGTTCTTAGTTATTTAATCTATTCCTAGCAGCACATAATTAAGGCCCTCTTTACTGTTCTGATCACTATCTACAAACACAGTCGATAATACAGATGATGCTTACAACTGTCCTAATTTTGCATATCAGTATCCTCCCCATTCTGTTTGGGCTCACGGTCAACTAACTATGTTCCTTATGGGTTTAGACAACCCACTACTTTTCATGGATCTGATTTGGTGCAGTGGAAACAGACCAAGTGAAATTTTCTTGGTATTTTATTTTTAGTGTGTATGTTAAGTTTCAGAAACTTCGACTCAGTGGGCGTGCTGGTAAATGTTTAACAACTGACTGTTGGGGAAACAAAGACTGATTTGTAGTATTTCTCAATTTCTTCCACAATGGCCACTTTCAAGCTTCCAACGTAGCTGAAAAATTAACAGTCCTCTGTCACAAGCCAGTACAAGCTGGCTCCATCACACCACTGCTTTTGAATTAGAGTGATGGGGCGGATAAAGCTACAATAAAGTGAGCGAGCATAAGAACTGGTGAGAGGGAGAACTTGGGCACCACCTGAGAATATTTAATTCACTTCAACTTCAACTTGAAAAGGTTGCCAAGGGTTCCGGCATTGCCCTGCTTTGGTTTCTATAGTCCACCATTTCTATGCAATGCGAAAAATGTGCTAACAATTCCTTGTTTCAACTTCCTTGCTCTGACTGCTGCTGGATCATTCTCTAGGTTACCGCTCTTAAATTGTTATCCGTTAGCCCCCAGGGCTTATGGTTGAAAGGCAAGGTGCTATCAAATGACAGAGGATCATTCCTCGCATGACTGTATTTGATAATCTTAACTACTGCTGTTGCTTTTGCTTCATTTTAAAATATTTAGGTAAGCAAACTTTTTCTATATGATTACCAAGAAAAAAAATCTTACTCTAATTATCTAGAGAAATCTCTGTCTTCCTTCTCCTTACTCCATCTCTTCACCTAAGAATAGTTAAATTGCCCAATTTATAGGCATTCATAATTTCTTATATTTCACTTTACCATACTACTTAAAGACTGCATTGCAATTGTCTATATGCTTCTAGGGTCAACCCACTAGATTGCAAATTCTTGGAAAACAGAGGCAATGTTCTGTCACCAGCATATTATTTTAAAATGAATATATATTCTCTGGTTTAGATACAACATATATTTTTAGTCTTTGGTTGGTTTCTCCCTGCTAAAGACCACAAACCTAATTCTCTTCAGAGAGTTGATATGTGTTCAGAAAACATTTACTAACCTTAGTAGGGATCTTAGAAAAATAGTTCATCAAAATTTACTGCAGAACAAAGCTTCTAGATGATTTGAGTATGACCTATTATTTTGGAATCCTCACTCCTCCCGTTCACTGGGATTAGCAATTCCAAATCACAATAAATATGGAATACTTACCAGTTATATTTTCAGTGGCCTTTTGCCCATGGTCTATTGCAAGAGTCATTGGATTCCTTTCCTCATTTGTTTTGAACACATGCAAAGGTACTGAAACTTTCCTTTCTTTCTGTGGTTTATCCAGACTTTTGGGCAGGAAAAAAAATGGTATGGAAGACATAATGGATAATAGTCCAGCAAAGAGGAAACTAAGCCACCAAGCACCAACCCAACGAGAGTCGTTAGGAGTTATTCTGATACTGCCTATAATAAAAAATTAGAAAACATAAAACAATTATTTTTAAATGCAGTAAATTCTGCGCAGTAGTAGTAATAACTGCTCTCCTCAGATAAACTATATTTTCTCAGTTCTGAAACTCTATTTTCTTTATTTACACTTTTTCATCTCTTAAATCAGGATAAGCCTGATTTAAGAAAAAGTTAATGGAATCATATAGCTGCTATTGTACAAGATTCAGTCATGTCATTGCCTGAGCTGGTGTGAACTTGGTGGCTTTTCTAGTGACATGACTAGATAATTGCCATCATTGAACTTTTAAGCTTGCAAACCACTGAAGTATCAATTATGAAAGGCATATAAACCCTTGTTATGTCTGAGTGAGGAGGAGGTCAAAGGGGGGGGAGGGGAACATCTGTAATACTTTCAACAATAAAGATAAATTTAAAAAAATGAAATTGATTTACACAATCATATCGTTTCATAATCAGCAACTCAGATAGATTTTAGGAAACATTTGGTAAAAGCAGTGACTCCATTTCCATGTTAAGTATTCATCTGTCAGAAATGTCATTTTGATAACATTTTTCCTGTTCTATTTTTGGTCTACATATAGGAGCTAGAAGTCATGATCTAGCTAAACATGGCCTATCAAAGTATTTTCCTTGGCTTACACACTGTCTTAAAAAAATAAAAAATTCTACAGAAAAATTTGGATTTTCTTGAAAACCAATCAGAAGATCTTGTCAATGTTGGATCCATATTTCTGCATGAAAAGGACAGGTTGAGGCTGAGTAGTACATGTGCTTTCGGGCATAAGAGGAGGGCAGTCCACCACTACCAATTCTTCTCAGTTTAACCACCATGCCTGGCACTCTTTCCTTACTTATTATGTCTTTGGCTCCTCTAGGCATTGGAGTTTGCCAAGGTGAACTATATTATATGTTTACATCATACTCATGACCGAATAAGAGAAGATACAATAACGTCTAAGCATTCAGTGGTAGAAATGGAATCACCAGGACTTCTAAAATATTGCAAGTATGATTTCTGATTATAGAAAAGAGGTTACAAAACCACCTCCCTAAAGACTCTAGCAATGTCTTTCTGTACTCTTAGTGATAAAAACAATGCGGAACTTGGAGGTGAATGACTAGAAAAGTACGAAATGTGAACCTAAACTCTAATTTACATTTCCAAATCAGATGTAAAACATTTCAACAGGGACTTGCTTCAACTTATATTATAAAACACTTTCAAATCTGTGCTTATTGTTGGCCTACTGTGTTGTCTACTCCATTATGCAAATGAACCCTTTGATTTCCTTGGAGATCCGCTCAAGTCCTGGTGAGATAGAAAATCAGATTTGTTTATTCACAAACACTAATTCTTTATTATGTGTTAAGTCAGAGACCATCCTGATGTGTTCTGGAAGACCTGACAGGTAACTGCTCAAATGTTTATGGCTCATCGTATAGTGGCTACAATAAAGGCATGCTCTTGGTGACTAATAGGAGCAGTTAAGTACAGTTTCTCTAAAGAGGGTTCAGTAAGTTTTCTCTGAACAGAAGCCACATTTGGGAAAAGACTTTAAAAACTATGCAAATAGAAAACGGAGAGGAAGTTTCCCAAGGGTAAATGCAGGGAAATGATATTACAGGGCACATTTAAGAAACCTGCAATCATGCAATTATTTTGGATGAAATCATCTTAAGCAAGTTTGTTAAAAATAATTTTTTACTATATACTTAGTGGTAAAAGCCTGGCGTAGACAAATGAATTTTATTTTTGTTCTGGTCATTAGTACATTTACTTCCTATTTGTAACTTTTAATTATAAGCAAAGGACTATTGAAAGAATTAATTTAATTATTTGGAAGAATGATGTCCTGCACTTGAAAAGCGTTATCATGTTACCTTGTTCTGATTGTACTTACTCAGATCTACATATCCAATATCCACGTACATTTTAGAAAACAGAGATCCCACTGTAAAGGCAAGGACTGAACCAATCATTCCTATTGCGAACAAACTACCTGAAAAATATTATAAAACAATTTTATCAGATGCCAAAAATATGGTTCTTATTCAATATGTTTTTAAAAGTAACATTATGAAATACATTTCTTTCTAAATAAAATTTTTAATAAATAAAAGAATGATGGTGATTGCCAAGGGAAAGGGGGTAGAGAGAGGCAGAGGGGGGAAGGGGGGATAAATGGTGATGGAAGGAGACTTGACTTGGGGTGACGAGCACACAATAGAATATACAGATGATGGATTATAGAATTGTGTACCTGAAACCTGTATAATTTTGTTAACCAGTATCATTCCAATAAATTTAATAAAAAGGGGGAAAAAAGAATGAAGAAACACTATTATTTCAAGGGTAGACCCAGGGAAAGTAATCATAAAATCTAATGTTCTTCTGTACATTACCTAAATAAAAAGAAGTCTCTCCTTTAGCAAAATCATCCAGATAAGAAATCCCCAAGGGTTGTATGGGGCTTTCTCCAATTCCACGAAGCATATTACCCATTAGGACAAATACCCACATATATGAGTCAGATTCTTTTTCCCAACCTGTGTAGACAAGAGAGTATTTTATTTTAATCATTAATTTTAGCATTTCTATTAGAAACTCAACTACATAACCCCTTAATTATTTCATTTAATATTTTTTTGCTTTTTTTCTAATTCTGAGTAATTCATATTCACTTTACAAAATTTGAAAATACAGTAAAGCACAAAGAAAACAAGTAAAAATGGTCTGTAATCCAATCACACACAAGGAGTCACTTCTAATGTTGGTATTTATCTTCTACATTTTTAGTGCACATAAAAATATGAATAATATTCTTTGTGTTCATTATATACTTAAATGTCCAGTTATTATAATCTATTTTTGTAGTACTTAACACCATATCATGACAATTTCTCCATGTTATTAAGATTTCCTGTATATCAGGATTTATTTTATTTTATTTTTAATTACAGCTTACATTCAATATTATTTTGTATTAGTTTCAGGCGTACAGTACAGTGGTTAGACAATAATACACTTTACAAAGTGATCTCCGGATAGTCAGTTCCAGCACCCACCTGGCACCATGCATAGTTATTCTGATATTATTGACTATATTCCTGAAGCTGAACTTTACATTCCTGTGACTATTTTCCAACTACTAGTTTGTACTTCTCAATCCCTTCACCTTTGTCACCCAGCCCCCAATCCTCCTTCCCTCTGGCAACCATAAGTCTGTTCCCTATCTATGCCCCGTTTCAATTTGTTTGTTTTGTTCTTTCGACTACACATATAAACGAAATCATATGGTATTTGTCTTTCTCTGTCTGACTTATTTCACTTAGCATATTTTAATGACAGCATAGCAGTGTGCTAAATAAACATTTCCTAATTTATTTAATCAATCTCTTACTTTTCACTCACAGATATTTCTAATTTTTTATCCTGTTAAACAAGGATGGCATAACTATAGTCATAAATAAATCCTTGTGCATCCTGGTTCTTCTCTTCTCTCTCTTCTCTCCCCTTCTCTCCCCTTCTCTCCCCTTCTCTCCCCTTCTCTCCCCTTCTCTCCCCTTCTCTCCCCTTCTCTCCCCTTCTCTCCCCTTCTCTCCCCTTCTCTCCCCTTCTCTCCCCTTCTCTCCCCTTCTCTCCCCTTCTCTCCCCTTCTCTCCCCTTCTCTCCCCTTCTCTCCCCTTCTCTCCCCTTCTCTCCCCTTCTCTCCCCTTCTCTCCCCTTCTCTCCCCTTCTCTCCCCTTCTCTCCCCTTCTCTCCCCTTCTCTCCCCTTCTCTCCCCTTCTCTCCCCTTCTCTCCCCTTCTCTCCCCTTCTCTCCCCTTCTCTCCCCTTCTCTCCCCTTCTCTCCCCTTCTCTCCCCTTCTCTCCCCTTCTCTCCCCTTCTCTCCCCTTCTCTCCCCTTCTCTCCCCTTCTCTCCCCTTCTCTCCCCTTCTCTCCCCTTCTCTCCCCTTCTCTCCCCTTCTCTCCCCTTCTCTCCCCTTCTCTCCCCTTCTCTCCCCTTCTCTCCCCTTCTCTCCCCTTCTCTCCCCTTCTCTCCCCTTCTCTCCCCTTCTCTCCCCTTCTCTCCCCTTCTCTCCCCTTCTCTCCCCTTCTCTCCCCTTCTCTCCCCTTCTCTCCCCTTCTCTCCCCTTCTCTCCCCTTCTCTCCCCTTCTCTCCCCTTCTCTCCCCTTCTCTCCCCTTCTCTCCCCTTCTCTCCCCTTCTCTCCCCTTCTCTCCCCTTCTCTCCCCTTCTCTCCCCTTCTCTCCCCTTCTCTCCCCTTCTCTCCCCTTCTCTCCCCTTCTCTCCCCTTCTCTCCCCTTCTCTCCCCTTCTCTCCCCTTCTCTCCCCTTCTCTCCCCTTCTCTCCCCTTCTCTCCCCTTCTCTCCCCTTCTCTCCCCTTCTCTCCCCTTCTCTCCCCTTCTCTCCCCTTCTCTCCCCTTCTCTCCCCTTCTCTCCCCTTCTCTCCCCTTCTCTCCCCTTCTCTCCCCTTCTCTCCCCTTCTCTCCCCTTCTCTCCCCTTCTCTCCCCTTCTCTCCCCTTCTCTCCCCTTCTCTCCCCTTCTCTCCCCTTCTCTCCCCTTCTCTCCCCTTCTCTCCCCTTCTCTCCCCTTCTCTCCCCTTCTCTCCCCTTCTCTCCCCTTCTCTCCCCTTCTCTCCCCTTCTCTCCCCTTCTCTCCCCTTCTCTCCCCTTCTCTCCCCTTCTCTCCCCTTCTCTCCCCTTCTCTCCCCTTCTCTCCCCTTCTCTCCCCTTCTCTCCCCTTCTCTCCCCTTCTCTCCCCTTCTCTCCCCTTCTCTCCCCTTCTCTCCCCTTCTCTCCCCTTCTCTCCCCTTCTCTCCCCTTCTCTCCCCTTCTCTCCCCTTCTCTCCCCTTCTCTCCCCTTCTCTCCCCTTCTCTCCCCTTCTCTCCCCTTCTCTCCCCTTCTCTCCCCTTCTCTCCCCTTCTCTCCCCTTCTCTCCCCTTCTCTCCCCTTCTCTCCCCTTCTCTCCCCTTCTCTCCCCTTCTCTCCCCTTCTCTCCCCTTCTCTCCCCTTCTCTCCNTTCCGTCCGTTCCATGCTTCTATGTCTCTGGCTCCACTTTGTTCATCAGTTTATTTTGTTTATCATATTCCACATATAAGTGAGATNTATATTCCACATACAGGCGAGATCATGTGGTACTTGTCCTTCTCTGACTGGCTTATTTCACTCAGCATAGTACTTTCTAGTTCCCTCCAGGCTGTGACAAAGGATAAAAGATCCTACTTTTTTTACAGCTGCATAGTATTCCATCCTATTTGTTTTAAATCAATTTTGCTAATAATTTCTACAGACGCAATTAAGTTGATAAATTTTAGAATATTTATTGGTGACACTAATATTCACTAGTATCAATTCATTCTTACCTTTTCCCTCTCTCTCAGGTGATGTGTTATTGAGTAACACATTTTGATTAATTGAACAGGTTGATAAGCTTGATGTTGAATTCTCTGATGGATTAATATAGGTTTCTTTAGAATACCTGTAACTGTAAGAATATCACTAGATTTAATTAAAAAAATTTTTTGGTATTGATTTTAGAGTGAGAGAGGAAGGGAGAGACAGAGAGTGAGAGTGAGAGTGAGAGCAACAGAGAGAGAGAGACAGAGAGAGAAACATTAATCCACTCTTCCACCCACCTATGCATTCATTGGTTGACTTGTATGTGCCCTGACCAGGGACTGAACCTGCAACCTTGGTGTATCTGGACAATGCTCCAACCAACTGAGCTATGTGGCCAAGGCTTAGATTTAATTTTTGTTTAGCTACTGAATACTTTTACTTTTCCCAGAAATACAGAGAAATTTTCCACTTTATTTACACCATTCTCTTCTCCAAATCATTAAAATCCCTTTTGTCAACTTCCCAATTGTACTTTAGGTGATGAATAAAAGTGAAATGGGAGTGTTCATGAAGAAATAGCATTCACTACTTCTTAGGCAAGGATCATCATGTTACTATCATCCTAGGAGTACTTTTAATCTGATCAAGGCATAAAATATCTTGGTTTTATGCTTTTTTGTTGTTTTAAACAATCTTCTAACTGAAACTTCCATCCCTCTGAATCATCTCCAAAGATAGTTACAATCTAAACTACCTGATAAACTTTATAACATTTAATAAACTTTAGAACACTGTTTTCCAAATCAATCTATAGCACACACTAACTCATCTACATTTTCTATCAATAATCTGTCTGATTTTCTTTCATGGACACACACACACATTATCATAATCCTGACTCTTCAAAATTTAGTTTAAAAAGTTCTAATTCATTTCCATTTGATGAGGAAGAACTTAAGAACAACAGTGATAGAGCTAGAATAAGGACAAATGCTGGTATCCAAAAACACTGAGGTACCTCATGAGTTCCAAGGCAGCCTACTGTATGCCAGACATTATACTCAGCTCCAAAAAAACTAAAACTAAAACCAAGTTTTTGTACTTAGGGAATTTGACACTCTCTAAGATGACCATATATACTAAAAGATATGATAAATTTAATACACCAGATCCTGAGTTGTCACAAGAAAAAAAGGGATGATCAGCTTTACTTGAGGTGGGGGAAGGAGTGGATTAGAGAAGACTTCCCCGTGAGGATGAGCATTGAGATGAATCTTGAAGACACATAGAAGTTTAATAGCTAGGCAACAACAACAACAAAAAGTATTCAAGACTGTAAGAAACACCATGTGCAAAGATATGACATATGAGGGCACATCTGGAAAACTGCAAGCCTAGAATGTGGTATTCAATCATGAAGAGCAGTGTAAGGTGAAGAAGAAGACAGTCAAGTACCAAACCAATGAGCAACCTGTAAATGAGTGTAGATACTAATTCATAGGGGAGCAGCATTCAATGTTTCTTACTGTGACCAACAGTAAAAAATGCATTTTGCATCACAACCCCAATACATACATATGTGCACACGCATACACACCAACAACCAAAATAAAAGTTTTGTGGAACAATATTTGTTCCTACTCACATTGTATATACTTTGATTCTATTTTATTCTAAGTGATCTTATCCTACTGTTGGCTTTAATAATTAATCTGAATCAATTTTTTGGTCCACTAGTAGTTCAGAAGCTGAAGTTTAGAAAACACTGCTCAAGAAAATTGGGAGTTTTAAGCAGAGATAAAATAATTGAATTTGCATTTTAAATTGAATAATATAGATTATGAGTTAGAATGACATTTAGACTGGCAGCAAAAAGTCCAGGTGAGAAAGGAGGGAACCCTCAAGTAGGTTGGGGACAATGGGGATGAAAGGATGGTACAACTTTGACAGATATGAGGTAGAATAAGCAAGATTTGGCGACCACTGGTCATTTGTGTAGAAATAAAAAAAGAGTCTAGGATGGAACTTAGGGAATACTGACATTATGGTGTCAGCAGCTGAAGGAAAGGATGGGCACAATGAAGAAACCACAAAGGTAGGACATAAATCAACAGAGGAATGAAAATCAGAAGAAGTTCCAGGAAGACAAAAGTGCTTATGAAGGTCAAATATGGCGGGGGATTAATACGGTAACCAGAGGCATGACTGTTGGCTTTGGCAATGGTTAGGTAATTCATGTCTTTAGCAGAAACTGCTCATTGTCTCTCAATATCCATTCTTCTCTCCTTCCACTGTAATAGAAGGTGGGATATTTAGCTAGTAGCATAGCAACCTGGAATAAAGTCTATTTTTTCCAATGTCTTTATATCTGGATGTGAAATACAATAAAGTTCTGGCCAATGTGGAGTCAGTAGAAGTGTCAAGCTTCTGAAAATATCCTCTAAGCCACAGGCTGTGTGAACTCTGCTTCTTCTTCTTGCCTTTCCCTTTCCTCTGTCCTGTTGGCTGGAACAACGTTGCCACAATTTGGGCCATAACATCAAGGCCATGCAATGCAGAGCAATATGATAAAAAGAAGCAGTAACTTACCATGCTCGGGACAGCTACATTAATTTTTTATGTGAAAAACAAGCTTCTATCTTATTAAAGCCATCCCTAGTTTAGGTTTCCTCTGTCATTAGTATCTGACTTTAACCTTAACTACACCTTAGGAAGGGCACTCCCAATGGATATGGTAGTGGGGAAACCCATACTTCAATAGGTCGACTGGTGAAGTTTATTGAATATATAAAATCTTGTAGGCAAAGATGTGAAGTATATATGTTATATTAAAAAGTCACAGATATCTTATTAATTTCTCATAAACTGTACACTTTATTCAGTGCTATTCGTATTTCAAATTCAATGAAAGCCAGGGTGTCTAAAGCAATAAGTTAATTATTACATAAAAAATAAACCATTTCTACACATACTTAGTGAGTATTCTTCTCAAAAGGTGGCTGTTTATTTAAAAGGAAAAAATGAAATTCTACCATTAATTTACAAGTAAATAGTAATTAATGGCACACAACTGTTTAAGACTTACTATCCCATGAAGAAATGTGGTAAAGCGGTCAAAATACTTCCAATGCCCATAACGAAGGAACCAATTCCAATTATTTTTGGTCTGTGTAGTTTGGATCCAAAGTAACTCACAAATACAATCAGAAACAAGTTTCCTAGAAAGAGAGCAAAAATCATATTTATATGATTCACTATAGCAAAAATCGAGCCTAATTTTGTGCTCAGTAGAATGGAAGGCCCCAGAATGAATATAAATAGAGCACAGGACATGGTATCACCCCTCAAAGACCGTGCAATTTAATTGAGAAGATGAAACTCATAATAAACAACTCACTGTAAAATTTTATGGTCTTGGTAATAAGTAGAATAGGTTTCAGATACAAAAGAAAACTTCTGAATTATTTGGCAATGTTAATAAAGCAAAATTTTATTGAAGAATTTGGAGTTAACTGGATTGCTCTGGAGTGGAGAAAAACCTTTCTGACCTGAGGGAAAGTTATTCATTCATGCACTAGTCATTCACTCCAGCATTTTTTAATTCCAACTAAGTTCCTGCCATGGTGTTAGTATCCAGAAATATTAAAAAAGCAGGAACCATGGTCTCTGTCTGTCCTCAAGATGCTTACATACCAGTGATGAAAACATACAAATAGACATAGGTGCTGTTAGACCACAGAAAAGGGGAGCTTAAAGTAATTAAGGGGTTCAGAAAAGTTTTCTGGAGGAGGGGTCACTTGAGATTGAATGTGGAGTATAAATTATTTACATTAAAAAGGGGAAGAAGAGCATTCCAAGTGGAGGGAGCCACAACCAATTCAGATCCACCTGGAGCTATATGTATGATACCAAACAGACAACAACCAAGGATTACTGAACATTTGATGGAAAAAAATTGCAGGAAATAAAAGCACCAAAATGAACTGGCAGGTAAAGTAACCTGTGAAGAAACAGTAAAATAAGGAAACTAAAAAGGGGAGAAACTTTGAGAAAATCTAGTTCATATTTTTAGAAGTACATGGGCATCCATAAAAGAAGAATGAGCAGGCTAAAAATAATAAGAGAATAGTAAAGTATTATACATTAAAATATTATAAAAATGTACATGTTGGGACCTGATATGCTAAGATGAGAGATTGCATCAAAGGATATTGTTGGAACATGAAGATAAAAAAGTAGAATTTTAGAAAGAAAAAAATAGCCAGAAAATTTAGCATTCATCATATATATGTTTCAGAAGAAAATGGAGGGGGAGAAGTAAATTTAAAATTATAAAACAAATTCCCTGAACTAGAAGTCTCAAACCTTCAGATGAAAATTTCTCCTACCATAAATAATGTAAAAATGAGAGTCTTGGATATATGTTGGTAAAAATCTCTGAAATTCAAAGATGAAGAGTAGGTATCTGTCAGTGCATGACAACGATACTGGTAGTGATTTATTATACAACATTAGGTGTAAAAACCAGTAGATAAATGTTTTAAAATAATCTGAGGAAAAAAGATTTTGAACTTTTAATTACATACTCAAACAAATTATCACTTGAATAAGATGCTAAAATAAATACATTTTCCAACAAGCAAGGGCTCAGAAAATGTCATGTGTTCAATTGTTTCTGGAAAAAATAACTACATAAAAATAATTTCAGAAAAACTAAACATGAGATTCAAAGTCAAAAGAGTCAAGAACCAGTGGTAAGCAAAGAAACCAGTAAAATTAATAACCACATCCAAATAATAGCTGTTAAATAGCTACAAGGTTTAACAAAAATATTAAGAATCAATTTCTCAATAAAAAGAGACATACAATAAATTAGAATTTAAAGCTAATAACAGGCTAATACTAAAATTCTAGATGTCTCAATAAACCAGGGAGGTGAAAAAGTGAAGGATATTTAGGGCGTAATATCCTCTGGATCATGAAAAGTCAGAACTCTTAACAAAAAGATAGATGGGCCCTCCTTTATGCAATTATTTTTAAATACTCAATATCTAAATGTATTTTAAACTTAAAAGGTAAACAAAAAATTATAGAAAATATTTGTAATCTATACAACAAAGATAATTTTTATTCCTTTTAAAATTTATTAAACAGTGGGGGGAAAAAGGAAAAATGGGCAGAGGTAATGAGCTCCAATTTATAAAAGAAAAGAAAATAATGTTCAATAATTATATAAAACTTCATTATTATGAGAGAAATCTGAATCAAAATAAAGAAACAAAGCAACATGCAACATATTCAAGGTCCGAAAAAGACTTTTAACACCAAATTTTATACCCAGCCGAACAGTAGAAACTTAACAGAGGTTGCTCTAAAGCTATTCCTCCCTCCTCAAATCATCAGAATCATAATTCTCTCTCCAAACTTAAGTTTTGTTTTTTTTTCGCATTAGGGAATCTTGAGAAAGGAAAGGTAAAGCCCTGTAAAGTATTTGTAAGTAATGAGATTGTGTAGATCAGGGTTTTTCAACCTCTGCACTATTGACATTCTGTGATGGATAATTATTTGTTGTTGGGGCTGCCCTGTGTCCTGCAGGATGTTTAGCACCATCTCTGATATTTACTGCTAGATGTCATTAGCAAACCCACTCCCCTCAGTTATGAAAAACAAAAATGTCTTCAAATATTGCCAAACTGGCCCTGGGGGCAAATTTATCCTTGGTTGAGAACCACTGGTGAAGAGCAGATATGAATAGTTTTTACCACTGCAAATCTGGTTACTAAATAATAAAAAAGAAATAAAAATTACCAATTTCAAAGCTTCCATCAATTAAGCCAGCAATAGAAGACGTTATGTCAAATCTCCTTTCTATTTGGGTGATGGAACTTTTCATAATGGCTCCACTCAGTGTCCTAGAAATAAAGGTGAATGAGAGGGCTGCCAAGAACATCTAAGAAAAAGCAGAAGGAAAGGGAAAAATGCTTACTCATAGAACTACATGTTTATATGTTCACAGAATTAACATAGCTTTTCTTCCTTACTTAAAAACATTATTTTATTATAAAAAACATACCTACCTTTCCTCTGTACCAAATGGACTTCTTAGTCTTTTTAACGTCAGCATCTCTATACTGATAAAGCATCATTTTCTAACGTGATTACAATATCAAGTATTTAGAGCAGTACAGACAATATTTTTAAATTAACATCATTAGCTGACTTATAAGAAGCTAGTCCATGGTCTGAGATGGTCATGATGATAAGCTATTATTTCCAAGTGAAGGGCATAGGCTAACGTCGAGGGTAAGGGCTAGGGGTTCGCAAACATAGCACTTCCCGGAACCCAGGTGAAAAATAGAAAATTTTCATTTATTAAACATCACTATTGTTGGAGAAATGCAAATTAAGATGAAGAAAACAAATATATTTAATGTTCTGAAAAAAGATTTTTTGTTTTCAGTTCCATTTTAACAAAATTTATTGATTCATCCTTCTTACAGTCCGCATTCATACTCATGAGTAAACTCCTTTTGCTTGCAGTTGAAAATCTGATCTTGTTCTGGACTACACACATTTCTATCCCCCACTCAATTCATATGTGAAACCCTCATCCCCAAGTGATGATATTTGGAGATGGGTCTTTGGGGGGTAGTTAGGTCCTGAAGGTGGAACCCCCATGATAAGATTAGTGTCCTTATAACAGTTTGCTTCTCTCTCTCTTTGCCATGTGAAGACCCAGAAAAAAGATAATGATCTGAAAACCAGAAAGTGGGTTCTCACTCGAACCCAGCCATGTTGATACCCTGACCTTAGACTTCCAATCTCCAGAATGGTGAGAAACTAATTTAAGCTGTTTGAGCCACTGAGTCTACAGCACTCTGTTATATCCAGCCGCGGATATAACAAGCCCTTCTCATTACCAACTGCACTGCCAGTGGCACCATCCTGTCTAGCCTGGATTGTTGTGTTAGCCTCCTAATAGATCTTTCTGCATCTGTTCTTATCCCCCTACAGTCTCTTCTCAATACAGTAGCTAGAAAAATTCTTCCTAACTGAAAATTAGATCATGCTAGCACTCACTTTCCTCCCATCTCAGAGTAATATCTAGTCTTTCCCATGGCCTACAGGACCCTAAATGATCTAGCCTCCCCCACTGAATATCCATTCCCCACAAATACTCCTTTTTACCTTTCTAACCTTACCTTCTGTTACTCTAGTCCTCACTATTCCTCTCCAGCGTCATCAGACTTCTTGCTGGACCTTGAGAATTCCAAATTTATTATATTGCCTCGGGTTCTTTGTTCTTACTTGCTTTCTGCAGGGAAAGCTTGTGCCCATAGTCATATTTCTATCACTCACTCACATCTCTGAGGTTTTTGCTCAAAGTAACTTCACAATGAGGCATTCCTTGACCAACCTATTTAAAATTATAGCACTTCCCCTCACATTATATTTTATTTCTTTATTGTATATTGCCCTTACTTGAATATAAGCTTCATCAGGGCAGAGGTTTTGTTCACTGTTACACCCCCAGTGCTTGGAATGATGCCTGCTACAAAGATGTTCAAAAAATACTTGTCAAACTTTTGTCTGACCAGAATCTATTGTGTGTCTTACATGAGGCCATGCTGGGAAAAAAGAGAGAAAGGCCAAATCCAGACCTTCCATGGCTGTCAAGACATGTGTACTTTCCTCTGTATATAGGGAACTTTCAATGGAGTTGAAAGAACTTGAGAAAATCTGTAAAATGATACAACTTACTAGAAATAATTAAGAATTCTTATATAAGATATAGAATTGTCTAAGAATGAAACACAAAATGTAGAAAGGTATCCAAGCCAGTTTTACTAAGCTGGTAAAAGGAAGAACAAGACACATAGGAGAAAGTTATTAAATTTGCCTAAAGGAGTCAGACAAAAATTATAAAGATTTTCAAGGGGAGTCAATTCTGACAATTGTAGAATCACATACTGGCTTACAGCATAGAATAGAAATGAAAAAAATTTCAGGTTCTAATCACTTCAAGAATCATGTTATTGGTACCAGAAATGGAAAAAAACCCAAACACATATGTATGGGAGTGATGTTAGCAAAATGGCAGGATCAAAAGCCCTCACACTCCTTCCCTCATGGAGACATGGATTTAACAACAACAAACCAAACAAATGACACTGTGAGAAATCCAGAAAGCAGTTAAAATATCCCTGCATTACAGGCAGTGTGAAGCCAACCATATGGCAGCTCAGTAAGAAAATCTGTGACATTCAACTCTCCAGCCACCGCATTTCCCCCACCAAGCATGGCTGGTGCAATTGGGACAAAACGAAAGGAAAACTCCCGTGTTTTCCCTGGAGAGAGAAAAAATTAGAACTTATGTCCAACGTTCTGACTTTTAAGAGGACTGCTTGAGGAACTAATCTGTATCCAAGTACGGACTGGAGTGAGTTGCCAGGTTGAGAGTCTCGGAACAAAGATGATAAAGCATGTACCAGAATCTGCAGTACCACAGATAGACACTAGATGGAGTGCCAGTGTTGTTACTGACTCCAACACTAGCCAGGCCGCAGTGTCTGAGACAGACACCAGGGGAATAGCAAACCTCCTCAAAATAACCCAGAGGGCACACACCAGGAAAGAGCTTTTGAGGCTTCCAGGACTGCTTAGCTGAGTAGTGAAAACCATCCCTATACAAAACCAGATGACAAAGTCTGAGAGAGTTGGCTGGTTACTCAAATGGCAAAATTCCAACAAAAATAAAAGACCTGTAGAGCAAAGGAAATCATAACACATTTAAAGAAACAAGTTAAATCTTTAGAAATTTCCTTAAAGCCACAAGGATATATGAATTTTCATAAAAAGAATTCAAGTTTACCATCAGAAAGATGTTTAAGGAATTCAAAGACAGCACATATAGACACTTAAATTAAAAAAAAAAATTATGCAGAAACAAAATGAGAATGTTAACCAAGAAATAGAAACTATGAAGAAGAACAAAAGAGAAATTATGAAACTGAAGAATGCATTACTTGAATTGAAACCATCGCTGTGAAGAGTGAACTTGACCAGACAGAAAAATGAATCAATAAACTCAAAGACTAAGCCAGAGGAGCAAAGGAAAATAAATAAATAAAAATGGAGAGCCTAAAAGACTTATGGAATGCCATCAAGCAGAACAACATATGCATTATGAGAGTACCAGAAGAAGAAAGAGAGAAGGGGGCAGAAAAATGATTTGAAGATATAATGGCCAAAATGTTCCCCAAATCTGAGAGGAGAAAAATACCTACAAATTTAGTAAGTGTAAACATCTCCGTCTAGGATAAATCTACTGAGACCTACACCAAGACACAACATGATAAAACTGTCAAGAGTCACAGGCAACGACAAAATATTGGTTGCCATAACAGAAAACTGAGTCATCCTAAGGAATTATCCTATTAGAACATCATCAGTTTTCTCAGCAAAAGCTTGGAGGCTAGAGGGAGTCGGATGAAATATTCAAAGTACTGGAAAAAAAAAAGAAGACTGTTAACAGCCTGGCCGGGTGTGGGTCAGTGGTTGAGTATCGACCTAGGATCCAGGAGATCGTGGTTCGATTTCTGGTCAGGGCACATGCCTGGGTTGCGGGCATGATCTCCAGTCGGGGGCATGCAAGAGGCAGCTGATCAATGACGACTCTCTCATCATTGATGTTTCTGTCTCCCTCTCTCCCTCTCCCTTCCTCTCTCTGAAATCAATAAAAACAAAGACTGTTAACAAAGAATATTATATTCAGTAAAACTGCCCTTAAAAAAAGAGAAAGAAATCAAAAACTTCCCAGATAAGGAAAGCTGAGAGAATTCACCACCACTAGATCTGCCGTACAAGAAACATTGATGGGAGTCCTACAAGTTAAAGTGAATGGATGATAGATAGAAAAAAAATAAATAAAACTAAACCGAATTATAAAATTCCCCAGTAAAGGAAATATGTGAAGAATCCACATAAATGGGATCAGTGCCCTTATAAAAGAGACCCAGCCTTGACCAGTTTGCTCAGTTGGTTGGAGTGTCATCCCAACACCAAAATGTTGTGGGTTTATTCCTGGTCAGGGCACATACTTAGGTTGCGGGTTTGATCCCTGGTTGGGACACGTGTGGGAGGCAACAGATCGATGTTTCTCTCTCTCTCTCTTTCTCTCCCCCCCTTATTCTCTCTAAAATTAATAAAAACGTATCCTTGGGTGAGGAGGTGAAGATTAAAAGAGAGAGAGAGAGACCCGAAACTCTCATGCCTTTTCCCAACATATAAAGACACAATGAGAAGACAGCAATCTATGAATCAAGAAGTGGATCATCACCAGAAACCTAATCTGCCAGCACCTTGATCATGTATTTTTCAGCCTCCAGAACTATGAGACATAAATATTTGTTGTTTAAGCCACCCAGTCCATAGAATTTTTGTTATAGCTGCCTGAACAGGTGGGAATAGATATTCCATGCAAACAAGAACCTAAAGAGAACAAGGGTAGCAATAGTTACATGAAACAAAATAGACTTTAAGACAAAAACTATCACAAGAGAAAAAGAAGAACATTAAATAATGATAAAGGGTCAGTTCCTTAGGAAGTTATAACAATTATAAATATACATGTACCTAACATTAGAAGACCCAAATACATGAAGCAAACATTGACAGAACTAAAGGTAGAAATGGAAACACAATAAGAGTAAGAGATTCATACCCTACTTTCAATATGAACAACCAGACAGAAAATCATAAAGAAACATTGGACTTGAACAGCACCATAAGCCATTGGACCTAATTGGACTTAGGTATACACAGAACACTCCACCAAATAGGAGCAGAATATATATTTTTCAAGTGTAAATGAAACATTCTCCATGATAACCATGTATTAGGCCACAAAACAGTCTTAACAAATTTAATAAGATTGAAATCATACAGTATATCTTTTCTAACCACAGTGGAATGAAACTAGAAATCAATAGCAGGAGGATATCAGGAAAGTAGACAAATATGTGGAAATTAACAACATACTCTTAAACAACCTATGGACCAAAGAAGAAATCATGAGGGAGTTTAGAAAATATTAGAAAATAAATGAAACTGAAAATATAACAATACTAAACCATCTAGGATATAGTAAAAGCAGGACTAAGAAGAAAGTTGATAGTGCTAAATGACTGTATTAAAAACAGAGATCTCAACAACCTAATCTTACACCTCAAGGACCTAGAAAAAGAACAAATTAAACCCAAAGTTATCAGAAGGAAGGAAAAAAATAAAGATTAGAGTAGAGATAAATGAAACAGAGGGTAGAAAACAATCAATGAAAGTAAGAATTAGATTTTTGAAGAGATCATCAAAATCGACAAACCCTGAGATAGATTAAGTAAGAAAAAGAGAAAATGTGTAGCTAACATTACTAACGAAAGAGGAAATATTACAAATGATGTCACAGAAATAAAATAAATTATGAGACTACTATGAACAATTACATCCTAACAAACTGACTGATCTTAAGAAATGAATAAGTTACTAAAAATATATAACTTACCAAGATTGAATCATGAAGAAATAAAAATCAAACAGATCTAAATCTAGTGAGGAGATTGAAGCAGTAATAAAAAAAACTTCCATCAAAGAAGGCCCATGACCAGATGGCTTTACTGGAGATTCTATCAAACACTTAAAGGAAAATTAATGCTAATACTTCTCAAACTCTTCCAAAGAATTGAAGAGGAGGGAACACTTCCAAATTCATTCCATCAGCCACCTTACCCTGATATCAAAGCCAGACAAAGACACCACAAGAAAAAAAAACCTACAGATCAATATCCGTGATGAATATTGAAGCAAAAATCCTCAACTAAATACTACAATCAGAACCCAACGACACATTAAGAGGATCATACACTTTGACCAAGTGGAATTTATACCTGGAATGCACATATGGTTCAACATATAAAAATCAGTTAGTGTAATACATCATCACATTAACAAAATGAAAGACAAAACCGTATGATCATATGAACAGATACAGAAAAGCAATTGACAGAATTCAATACCCTTTCATGATAAAAACACTCAACAAATTAGAAATACAAGAAAGTACCTCAACATAATAACGGCCATATATGAAAAGCCCATAGTTAACATCATACTCAGTGGTGAAACACTGAAAAGGCAGGTATGCCAGCTCCTTCCTCTTCTGTTCAACAGAGTTAGTACTGGAAGTTCTAACTAGAGTAATTTAGGCAAGAAAAATAAATAAAATGTGGATAGTTCATAAATGAAGAAGTAAAATTGTCTCTGTTTTCAGATGACATAATCTTATATATAGAAAACTCTAAAGACACCACAAACAAGAACCAAAAAATGAATGCAGTAAAGATGTAGAATGCAAAATCCACACTCAAAAAAGTTGCTTTTCTATACAAATCAGTTGCATTTCTACACACTAACAATAAATTATCTGAAAAGAAATTAGGAAAATTAGGAAAATAATCATTTACATGGCAAAAATTAAGAAGTCTAATGATGCCAAGTGCTGGAGAGAACATGTACCCTGATTCTCTCTTATAAATCCCTTGTCACCATGTAAATTAGTGCGACCATTTAAATAGCAATTTGGCATTATCTTGTAAATTGAATATATAACATTGAATATTTATATATTCTGTGTTCTAGCAATTTCAGTCAAAGGTAATGGCAAGAAAAACTCTAGGTATACCAGGAGATATGTATAAGAATATTCATGCAAACATTGTTTACAATATAAAATCCCTGAAAACAATCTAAATCCCCATAGAAAAATAAACTAATATATTCACATAATAACATTATATATAACATTAAAAATGCACAAATCACTTCTATATGACTAAATAACTTTATAAGCAAATATATATACTTTCACAGAGGTTTGGGAGATTAGGGCCATTATTCAGCCTACCTATGAATATATTAGGTAACATGGCAAAGGGACCTGACCTTAAAGAGGTTATCCTGAATTATCCTTGTTGACTGAATGTAATCTCAAGGGTTCTTTACTTATGTAAGAGGGAGGCAGAAGGGTCAGTGTTAATCTGATGAGAAATACTTGACTGACCAATAGCTTTGAATACAGGAGAGAGCTGAGTCAAGAGCTTCGGGCAGCCTTGAGAAGTTGGAAGAGACAAGGAAGTAGATTGTCTCTCAGAGGTTCCAGAAAGGAACACAGTCCTGCCTACTCCTTGACTTTAGTCCAGTGAGACCCACTTCAGACTACTCAACTTCAGAACTGTAAGATTATAACAGAATGATAATAAAATTGTGGTTTAAGCCATTAAGGGCATATGTGTGTGTGTTTGTGTGTCAGTGGTGATTAATGCTATAAAAATCAATGTGGTTGAAGAGTCATGAGTAGGAAATGCTGTTTTATATGGAGTGGTCAGGCGGGAGGCAATGTTTAAACAGAGATTTGAATGAGATGAAGGAGCAAGATATCTGGAAGTAGAACATTTCAGAAGAGGAAACAGCAAGTGCAAACTTCTCTGAGTCAGAACCATGCTCAGCACTTTTGAGAAATAGCAAAAAGGCTAACATGGCTGGAGGAAAGTGAGCCAGAGGAAAACTGTGGAATATAGAAACTTGGTTAATAGGGGATGACTAATCTGGTTATTTCTGTAGGGGGAGTGGGAATGAAAGCAGAAAGAGAAAACTTTTTTGCCCTATAATTTATGTTTTTTGATGATGATGCATTATTTTTGTTTTGTTAAAGAATTTTCATTACAACATAGAGGTACAAGAAATCTAAAATGCAGAAATGACAAGTATAAAGATGAAGGACCTACTGGCAGGGTCTCTATAATTTAGTTGGTTGGGTTCAAAGGGAAAGGGGGTAAGAAAGAATCAAACAATGCTGGAGTTATTTAAAAGTGTCAATTATGTATCTATTTGCACCTAAATACATTTCAACCAGTGACAACATATGTGTGCCCGTGAGAAATAATTGACTGACCAGTAGCGCAGAATGAGGAAGATCACTGAATAGTCCACTTATAAATCTCTGCTCACCAAAATCTCTTGAGGGTACTAATATGATGAATTTGGGGACCTTGAGGGTTCATCTGTCCTCTCTTACCTAAGTTTTTTCATCTGTAACAGGGAGATAATAGCATCTGGCTGACATAATTTGGGTAAGAAATTATGGTAGAAATCCAAGAAGTAAGTAGAAGTAAATAAATAGAAGTAAAACACTAGAATAGCATCTGGCATATAGTATATGTTCCATAAATTTTAGCTATTATTGCTACTATTGCTTCTCAGATCTTCATTATTGGCCTGCAATTAAAAAACTTTACACACAGTCAATTTGCTAACTTTTCTCCAAATATGCTACAAGGGACCACTCTGTTTATTTGCTTCAGTCAATTTGTTGTCCCCTTGCTATGTATGTGCAAATAAAATCGTTGTAACCCTCAATATTTAAAAGCAGAAATAATCCAACAGAGCATATAATCTCTAGACAATAGAATGTAACACGATTGCATTAACCAATGCCTTTTCCTTGTGACTGTCATTCTGTTTAAATATTGTTCAAATATTTCATCAGAACAAACTTTAACAGTAATATCTAAAAATAAACAGAATTCATGTTCTCTGGACAAAGTTAAAAGGGACCTTATATAACATTACTGCAATTGAGGGTGATCTCCTGTGGTCTTTTTTTTTTAAACTGAATTTGTTGGGTTGACATTGGTCCACAAAACCATACAGGTTTCAAGTGTACACTCAACAAAACGTCTGCACACTGCATCGAGTGTCCATCGCCCCAGGCACAGTCTCTTTCCATCCCCATTCTCCCCCGTCCCTTTGCCCACCCCTTCAGCTAGATAAAACAACAAATTTGACTGGGGGAAATTAACTATGAGTAAAAAGGCAGACTTGATTTTTTATTTCCTTAAGGCTTGCCTAAGGGGATTTAAAGGCTTTGACTTTGGTTCAAAGGTTTCAATTTACTATCTAGATGACTTGAGGCAAATTTTCAATGTCCCTGAGTCTTGGTGACTTCAACACCGTATTCAAACAGTACTCTTTCCTGCCTATGAAAATCCCTGATATAGTCTATATCATTTAATGTCTCACAGTTTGGTGACAAAAGCACAAGAAAGGATTATTACTTTTACTAACTTGCATATGGAAAATCAAATGGCTTTCCTAAGTCAGCAGCTAGGTCTCTGGGCCAGGTCTTTTGACTGTTCTTGCAGATCTCTTTTCCATCAGACAATATTTAAGTTATTAAAATAAAAAATGCTGTTCTCTAAAAAAATTTAAATAGGTCAAGACTACAGTGATTCACAAGACTGATTAATCTTCTCTGTTTATAGGTCAATTCTAAGACTATTTTTACATATTACCCATTATACAACAACTTTTATTTTAATCACATTTATAAATATCTTTTGGTCCATCAAGAACCAAAGAAAAGATATTAAATTATTTCTAAATATTTAACATTTATAAACTCTTAGCCATCAGAAATATCACCAAAAGTATATTTTTCAGATTTCACTTGGATTCAAATCAAGATATGGATCACTCTGTTAATATTTCAATGTATGCTTCAGTTGAAAACTCTAATTTGAAATATAACATTTTTCCCTAAAAACTGGTTGCCTTTTCTTTAAAAAACAAAGTCTACCCTTCACTTATTTTAGTTTGAAAACATGAAGCTCATTCCACCTTGAATCCATCGCAGCATCTGCTTTTTCTTTTCCTCGATGGTTCTGCCTCTGCTGTCTTATTCAGATCTTGATCTGGGTCCATCATGGAACTACAGATACTATGTGACTGTTTTCAATGGCCACAGATGTTCTGTTCAAAATGATGACCTATTCAGGGAGAAAAAGTGTAACTTATTTCACTTTAACAAAATGCAATTCAGAAATCAGAAAAGCCACACGGTCAACATCAATCAATCTATAAATCCACTAACACACCTCTACCTGCGCAGTTACTGAGTGGAGTGGAGGGGGGAGAAAATCAATAGTTTGGTGGTCCTAAAGTCATAAGCGGCCTTTTGATAAATTTCCTGTCATTTTTTTTTTTCATGAATACCTCTTCCTATATCTTCTCTCAGGATTTAAATGTTTGAAAATAATGTTTTACCACTTAATTCTAGCATTGCAAATGTCTATGAATGATTTGCAAAGTTTAGCTTTAGGTTTCCGTGTTGATTTTTGGCCACTGGACAAATATTCTTGAAGACTATTCTCTCACCACTTTCAGTGCTCTGTATGTTTACTCTGAACCTGTGAGGTTCTTCCCCATCTCTTGGTTGCAGTTCTGCCCCAAGTTTCCCCTCTTAGATATTTTCCCAGTTACTCCCATTGAAATAACCTCTCCCACATTGCCGCTCTCTGGAGAATATACCTTGTAAACAGTCATTTCTCTTCCTGTATTTCCACAACTTTCCCAGAAAGACTACTACTCCATACTTCTAGATATTGGGGAAAAATATCCAGAAAAAAAGTTGGGAATTCAGGCACCTTTACCCTCATTTCTTAGAACAATTATGTTGTCATAAGTAGCTACAAAGCAACTAGAAAGTGGGACAATCAATATAGGCTTGACTCTAAATACCACACTTTCCATTCCAATGTGGCACTTTGAGCCCGATTCGGAGACATTTAACATAGTTTTCTGTAGGCATATTTTTTTCCTCAGATTTCCAAACAAATGGTGTACAAATTTAACATTTATAAGATAGGAGCAGAGGCATTCAGATGTAGCATTGCAACTCTTTCCTCCCTGAGCAGAATAGCCCAGTTCTGCCTACTTTGCTTGGGGTGGTTAGAGGGCAGAATCTCTCCAGCCTCTGCTTATCTGTGTAAAGATTTTACTGTCTGAGAAATCATAGAAAATCTGTGCAAGCAAGTGGCCCAGCCTCTACCATGTTCTATCTGTAGAACCGAGGAAGAAAAATGGGAAACAGCATTAACTAACTTCTTAGCCCTTTATGAGGGGACTTGCCCCATCTTCCACCTTATTTTGACAATAACAATTGTCTTATTAGGGTATCCACCTTCCTGAATGGGAGAGGGGCACTAACACTTGAGTCTAGTTTGTATCAGGAACTGGGCTGAGCAGATTTTCTTTCTTTTTCTGTTTTGTTTTGTTAATCCTCACCTGAGGATAGTTTTTTCTATCAATTTTTTAGAGAGTGGAGAGTGAGGGAGAGAAAGAGAGAGAGAGAGAGAGATGGATGTGAGAGAGACACATCAACTGGTTGCTCCCTCACGCTCCTGACTGGGGCAGGGATGGAACCTGCAACCAAGGTACATGCCCTTGACCAGGAATCAAACCCCATACTCTGGTGCTCAGCTGATGCTCTAACCCCTTAGCAACACCGGCCAGGGTGACTTTTTTTTTTTTTAATCAGAGATAGAATTATGTAGACCACATCTTTCTTTTTCCCTCACCCAAGTCAAACTTGAGTTGACAAAAGGAAACAAGAGGTGGGTTAGTGACTTTGGGACACTTCCCATTTCTTGATATTTGTCAACTAACTCTCCATCCCATATTATACAGTTAAGATGGAATAAAAGAAATAGAGAGGGAGATATAATAATTCTATGGAGTTAGTAAAGATAATTGACTTGTAACATATTTTGAGAAGGTAACCAGAGGTCCATTTTTCAGACTTGAAATACCAGTTCTCTAGAAAGTAATTGGAATAGGTTTTCAAACTTTGTATTTAAATTATGCATGGCTAATTTTCTGTATTTTTATTTCTAAGAGTATATAAACCAGAGGCTTAGCTATTTCCAGAAGGGGTACTTAATAGGTTTTAAGGGCTTAGAACATACGTGTGTAGAAGACACAGGAATAAAGTGTGTAATATTTATCATGTCTATCAAAATACAGGGTGTCCCCCCCCAAATGTATACACACTTTAATAGCTGATAGCTCAATTTTGAAAATGCAATGAATTTTAATAAACACTGCCTTTATAATTATTCAGAGTATGTGTACGCATTTTTGGGGGACACCCTATATTTTGTTCTTGAAATCTGTGGAATTTTCTCAATAGAAAAAATGTTGAAATTAGAGAATTTCAAAGGTTCTTACCTTGACTTAGACTCCTACAGCAGCAGCAAGAAGTCCATCCCTTTAACTGTTGTTAAAGTCTGTTTTTAAATAGTTAGTTGGCTTTTCTTCTTTATCAGTACAATGATGATTAACCATCAGGTCATTGTCCTAGGCAGATAGAAGAAAATTAACTAGCTATCCTAAGAGTCTGTTCCAGATTCCTGTAATTTGTTTGTTTATTCATTTAATCCTCACTCGAGGATATTTTTTCCATTGATTTTTAGAGAGGGACTTGAAGGGAGGAAGGGAGGAAGAAAAAGAAAGCATTGATGTGAGAAACACATCGACTGGTTGCCTCCTGCACATGTTCCAACTGAGGCAGTGGACCGAACCTGTGGCCCAGGTATGTGCCCTTGATAGGAATCGTCGAACCAGCTCTAACCACTGAGCAACACCGGCCAGGGCTAGAGTCCTGTATTTTAAAGGTTATATTTGTCAGAATTTATAAACTTTTCTGCTGTAAAAGTTCATTTATTAAGCTTTATTTCTGAGGAGATTCTGTTTCAGTTGAGTGAAGATTATGCTTTTTATGCTTGTTTTTAAATAAGCACTTCAGTTAATTTTTATGTAGTGCCAAATTGTGAGAACCACTGTAGCAGAGATAGAGAACATTTTCAGTTGTTTCTGAGGATTTACCTTTCATTCAGAGTAAGAATACAGTTTAGGTGTTCCCATGCTAATAATTTTCTCTTCAAATTTTTATTCCACCAACGTACATCCCATAAGGTAAATGGTACAAATTAACGGAGAACCTTTATACTCCCTAAACTAAAGCTATCTGGTGAAATTCTGGAGTGTTTCCAGAGGTCAAAGAGCATTTTTTTGTGACCTTTTCTCTGCCATGACTGTTTAAGTAGTGAAATTTTCTTGTGTGACTTGTGAAAGAATACTAGTGGTCAGAGGAATGGAGTTACAACAGTTCTTTCAAGATCGATATTATGCTAACATCCATGGGTCAGTAGAATTGCAAAATTTGCTTTAAAAACCTATTAATATTTATTTCAGAGATAATCATCACAGTTCTCAGGACATTTTATGGTCTTTGAAATCTGATACATTTTGACGCCAATTTGTCTCTGATACTTGCTAACAATAATAGACTTAAGTAGGTTATTTAAACTTTCTGCACATCAATATTCTCATCTATAAAGTAGGAAGTCAATGTTTGGGGTAGGATTAAATAATGTATCTATAGAGATTTACACAGTACCTGATACATTATAGATTCAATACCTAATACTCAATGAGAGTCACTGTATGAAATTTGTGTATAGTATTTATTATACATATTTAAAGCAATTAATTTATATCACACAAAAATAAAAATCTAAGACATGTGCCCAGTGTTTTTTTCAACATTTTTTACTCCTGGATTCTCAGGTGGGTGCCACAGGCATGCTTCAAGAGGGTGCCTTCAGGCTCAAAGCAAAGCTGTCACTGCCTGTCCACCTTGCCTCCCTTGGCAGTGGTCAAGAGGAAGCTCCAGGAGGCTGTATACTTCTGGTCAGAACCCCACATATCTCTACCCACTGCCACTAGGCCCTGGCATCGTCAGGATTAATCTTATTATAGCCATCAACTTCTTATGCTAGTCACCACCATAAGAAGGTAGGGATTCCATGATCACCTTCATCAGTTCCTGTCTAATCCCCACAGGGCTCTGCACACCCGTGTTTCTGCCTCTCACCTCCTATTTCTCCCAATCCTGAACTGAAATCTTTCTCTTGAGATTTCTGGAACTCATGGTTAATTACAAGTTGAATTACCTTTACCTTAGCCTTTTCTCTGAATTTATTTTGCTTTACCTTGTTGCTCTAACTTAATCATGGCCCTTCCCTGAAGTCACTGCCTCCCTCTCCTGTTCTGTGATCAATGAGAGCAGCAGCATCCTCCACGTTGCATCATTGCTCCACACCAGGTGGACTGGTTTCCAATTTGCCTTTCCATTTCACACCCTCTTTCTTCAGAATCCATCGTTTTGAATCTCATATCAAAAGACACTATCACTTATCCTTCCTCTGTTGAAATTATATACCAATCCTCCAGTCACTTATTCCGTGACATTTTTAGCTCTTGGTTCAAAGTCAGTCTCTCAAAATAGTATTGCTGTGATTTCAATGACCATGAAGAGAATCCTTATAATTCTGGGGCTTCTTAGTTTTTTAACCTTTTTCCTCCAATGATCTTACTTTTGCTCACACCAATGGACATATCTTAGACTTGTCACACCCAAAACTACAAATTCTCCAGTTTTGTGGATTGGATTGCCACTATCTTCCAGCTCACACTCTGTAGTACCTCAGGTGCAACAATGCTTCCACTGACCAGGATCTACAATCCACTGATTGATTCTTCCAGGGATTTCACTGTTCCTTATTTTATGTCCTCACTTCCCTCCACATCTGGGTTAAATTTAATGGTGATGGAAATCACTTTATTCCACACATTTTTCAAGTCCTTTGTGATCCTTGCATCATTATAATTTTTTGACAAAACTACAGCTTTTATTAAGTCCAACTCTCAGGCTGTTCTGTCCATTCATCCATGTTGATGAATGTAATTGAAGAAGAAGCCTCCACCATGTTGACTTTAAATTTGTGATGGTGAAACTGAAGTAGGCCCTTTGTTTTGCCTAGCTAGGTACCATGTTACATTTTCCTTACTGAAGTCACCTT